CTCAGTTGGTACAGTGCTTGCCTGGCATGCATGAGGCCTTGGGTTCAGTCCTCAGCACCACCCAAAATAAAAAAGAAAACCAAACAAACTTCAGTATTTATCTCCTGAGAGATGAAAGGACATCTTTGTCATAATAATAATACCATTATCATAGTAAGAATATGAGTGATTTTATAATATCTATTATTCATTATATACTTGATTTCCTCAGTAGTTCTAAAATTTTCTTTTTTTAGTTTCCATGATCCAAAATATGACGAAACAATGTATCTCCTCCTGGGTGGGTGCTTCTCTATTCCCTAGCGGGCCTCTGCAATCTTTCTTTTTGTCCTACTGACTGTACTTTACTTAATTGTATGGTCATTGCTCATTTGCATTATCTTCTCTTCAATGGAATGTAAACTCTTTGAGAGCATGGTATGTTTCTACCTTTGTATCCTTAGCACCTGAATGCTAAGATAAATACTTTAATAAATGAAAAAATGAGTGCTTTCTAGTTATATTTTATTTTTTACTTTTTCCTTTTGCAATAAAAATTTTATTCTCTCCAACACACTACCATCCCTAGAAGCTCTGTCAGATAAAAATCGGTGGTCTTTTTTTCATTGTCCCTTTTTTCTTACAAGCACAACTTTTCAGTGTTGTTAAATTCAGGGGAGGTTCCAGGCAGGATCGCCTGATGCAGTCATCGTGTAGAGGCACTCCATTTTGGTTTCCTGCTTGGTCATTTGATAGCCTTCCCATGGAGGGGGTGTTTTGTTTCCCAATGGTCTAGAGGCTTACAGTTGGGAACCAGTTACTATATGAACAAGAGGCAAAAGAAGCAGGCTTTGTTGACAATTTGCACAGATCCTTCCCATTACAGCACACAGTACATGTACATGAGGAAGTAGTGTAAGAAAGGTTGGGGGCCAGATTGAGATGTTTAAAGAACTTAAATACCAGGCTAAAGGATATGATATTTTTCTAGAGTAACTTGACAGCCATTCAAGGTTGTGAAAGGGGAAGGGTTCCTCTTAGGTTATTAGTTCCAGAACTACAACATAGATCTTGGCTCATGTTGTCTGAAGTACAGAGGCCATTAGGGTGGGGGGTGGGGGCGTCATTGTTTGTGCATGTAGGGTCTACATGGAGTCTTACACGTGTTCTAGTCACTGTCAGCTTTTGTCTAGACTGCTGCTGGACAGCCTCCACCTCTTGTTCCCCAGGCCATTCTTATCTAGTCCACAGACACCTTTTAAAAGTATATGTCCTTATCTTTTCTCCACATCCAAAATGACCTAGCATGTGTTTACCACATAGAGCCATACCCTAAGGTACCTTTGGAAGTTGATGTCCCCTGCAGTGGTCTGACGTCACATGCTTTGCACCACTCCTGCTGGCTTCTTCCTAAAGTATCTCAGAACTGTGAACTCCTTTCTGCATCTGGCCTTTGCATTTCCACTGTCTTCTGCCTAGAACTTCTTCCTTCAGTTCAGTCCTCTTCTTGAATATCACCTTCCCAGAAATGACCTCTCCTAAACATTATCCTCCTTCTCTTTGATTAATAGCATATGTAGTTATCTGACATGCTGTGTGAATTACTTACTTTATTGTCTACATTTTAGGTAGTATGTGAATTTTCTAATTTGGGGTGTGTCTTCTTCATGCTGTGACCCTAGAGCCAAGATGGCACCTGGCACACAGAAGGGGCTTGGTAACCATTTTTTGAGTGAGTGGGTTAGGTGTTTCAGTAAGTCTCCTAGTTCTGCTGCTTCCTGTTCTGACCCATCTCCATGTAGAGAGGATATTTATGTCTCCCTTGTAGAATGTTCTAAAATATGAAGAGGGAGTATCTGCCCCACACGGTGCCCTGCCTAGGTGTGATGGCAGCTGAAGCACTGCTAACTACCTTCTTGCTAGGTTATTGGATAGACTTACCAGTGTTACCCAGAGATTGACTTATCAGAAGGTGACCTAAAGGACCCAGCCCTTCCTGAAGTGAAATCTTCTCCCTTATTCTTTATTTGGTGGAAGCAGAGAACAATTGTAGCTTTTCAGTTTGTCATTTGGTTTAGCATTATCATTGAAAAGGAAGAGCTCTGACAGGTTGCCACAGTGGCCACTTAATCAGAGGGGGTGATCTGATTGCTTGCAACACAAAATTGTAATGATTATGCAGCAAGTGTGAGTGTCCCTGTATTATTTATGAGGCCTTTTGGAGTGTTGCATTCAGGTACCTTGACACAGGAGCTGTCACACTGAGAGAGGAAATGAGAAACACAAACAGAATCTCCTGTTGTGTTCTTAACACAATTAATTTTTTTCGATAAATTACCTAGTATCATTTAGCTCACATTCAACTCTTACTGTGAGCTGAATAACTATTTACAAACCTGAACCTGGAGAATACTAGCATGTACCCAAAGAGATTTTGTTTAGTGAACATAAAGGAGGAATAGTAAGTATAAAGAAATGGTATTTAAAGATGTGGCGATGGTATCTTCAAAAGTGTATTTCTCCAGAGTATCTGAATTGTGCAGCTCCCGGGAAGTATCTTTAAAAACAAGAACTAGGAGTGGGTGGCAGATTACAAGTTGCCTCCTTCCATTTGAGCACCCTCAAATAAAAGCCAGCTCAATTACCTGTTCTTATGGAGAAAAGAAATCAAATATTCTGGGAAGTCACAGAATGTCAAACGAAGCTGCATCCTCTTCCCTCAGTAAACCTTGGATCTTAATGTTTGGAAGTTGTTTAGAAAAGGGAGCTCACTCTTGGGCTCCACACACCTGCCTGCTCATTCTTCTTTCACTGACCCAAGAGGATGGCTCAGCTGGTTACAGCAGAACGAAGCTCCAGGATCTGTACATTCAGCCTAATGCTCTCCAGCATTTGTGTCTTTGGGAGGAAGTGATCTCTTCCATTTCCTCCTTTCCTGAAAACTGAGTCACAAAGAGTTTGATATATGCCAGTTTTAAAACTTGTAGGTGTTGAAAACTAAATTTGAATCCATTTCTGCAAACTTTAAATTCCTGTTGATTCTCCTTGATTAGATGATAGGAGGGATTCATCTAGTAGTTTCTAGTGTTGTCCATTTATCTGTTGGGTCAGCATTTTATGTTTATCACTCTTCTTACCCCTTTTACATTTTGCCTTCCCTTGTAGGTCTCTGCTGCTTGCTTTCTCATCATTTTCTGAGTTCCTGTGTTTCTTTTCCTCACGTCCCACTTGGTCTTTGGTATGCTCCATCATGGATAGCTTCCTTATAAAGTGGGGTGCAGAGCTGGGTGCAGTGGTGCACACCTGTAATCCCAGCAGCTATGGAGGCTGAGGCAGGAGGATTGTGAGTTCAAAGCCAGCCTCAGCAATGGCAAGGCACTAAGCAACTCAGTGAGACCCTGTCTCTAAATAAAATAACAAAAAATAGGGCTGGGGATGTGGCTTAGTTGTTGAGTGCCCCTGGGTTCAATCCCTGTAACCAAAAAAAGGGAGGGGGAGGGGTTGTAGGAGTAGGTTATATGCACCAGGTGAACCTCTGGGCCTGACTGGCCTGGGTTGATCCAAGAGCTGAGAATAGATCTTGAGAGCTCAAACACTGGCCAGAATTCTCTCAGCATCATGTGGAACCCTCCTTGGAAGTCCTGTGGATGCTGTGACTCCTAGGGACCTTGCTATAGTCTACTCTGCTCACTATTAGCAAAGCTGGCCTTCTCTTTCTCTGGTATTTGTCAAGGAATTGAACCTCCTTAAGCACCAAGGTTCCATAGTTCAGTGTAACCAAAAACTGGTGTAGTTTATGTAAGCAGTGCCTACCTTGTGAGTGAGCAAAAAGATACTCTGGGGTGGGTGTTAAATGCCCTGCTTTGAGCAGACTTTTTAAAGTCTATAGATACTATTTCAAAATTATTTTATAATAAGTGAAAGCCCCAGTTACATTTTATTCTTACCAGAAATCTGAGCTTATAGGGCAGTTTGAGATTTGATGATGAAGATGCTGACTCACTTCAAGGTTTTCTCCCTGGGCCTCACCAAGTTCTTTTTCTATGTCACCTGCCCCTTGGTTAATGGTGCTTGACATATAGGCATGGTTTGGAATGATCTGAGAAACTATTTTGGCCCCAGAACCACTGGCCTGTGCCTGATGTGAAGAAAACCTTAGCATCACCCTGGAGTTGAGAATGACCTAAGTGTGTGACAGGTTCATGTGTTGCCTTTATGGCTCAGGCCATATCAAGAGATGTCTGTTCTGGAGTCTTCCTTGTCCATAATTAAACCAGAATAAAGTAGTTCCTCCTTTTAATCTATATTGTTAATTAACTACCAATCTAGTCCTATGTGTGTTCAGCCCAGGCAGCAGGAACTGTAGGAGACGCTGTGGGTGTTAAGGTAGAGGTACCAGGGGCCTGGTAGTCATTCCATGTCTGATGAACAGTGTGTCAGTAGGAAATGAATGGCTGCCATGGCAATATTCTGTTTACCTTTATGTTCCTTGTGGTAATGTACCAATGAGTTAGATATGGCCCATGAGGCAATAGCCTCTGATCAGATGAGAAGCAGCCACAGAAAAACAGGCAGGGAATGGAGCAAGGCCAGCATGTTCTAGGGCTTAGACAAAGGAATTAGGGATAAAGAGGTATCCTTAGGGGTCCTCTGTGTAGCTAAGTTTAATCGCCTTTGTGTAATATTTTCTAGAGATGGAAACAAAAATTCTTAATTCTCTTTAGTCCACCTAAGTGATCACCATCTCCTTGTCCTTCTAAAACAGGAGGTGGTCTGTCTGGCTAACACTGTGTTCACACATGCAAACCCCTTGTCCCAGTCACTAACCTTGCTACTGTTTGCCCATGCCAGCAAAAACTCGGGCGGCTGACTTGTTGGTGAACCCCCTGGATCCACGGAATGCAGATAAAATTAGAGTAAAAATTGCTGACCTGGGAAATGCTTGTTGGGTGGTAAGTAGTTTTCTTTCTAAAATATTTTGGTCATGATTCTGAGAAGACACTTTTTATTTTTCCTTTTTATGTATTTGTTCCTCTGTGGTAATGCATCTGTTCCTTTCCAGCATAAACACTTCACAGAGGACATCCAAACACGTCAGTATAGATCCATAGAGGTTTTAATAGGAGCCGGCTACAGTACACCTGCAGACATTTGGAGTACAGCATGCATGGTAAGGATAGCCTTTGCCATTTTCTTCTTGTAAATTAATTTTTCCCTTTACTGCTTTTGATGGGGCAGTCTCCATGGGGCACAGATCTCAGTTTTTCTAAAAGTGAAAATTGTCAACCATGGGATGGATGAGAGCTAGGAGATTGCTGCCTTGGGTGTCTTAAGAATTGGAAGACGTTTACCTGGGTGTGATAGCACACACTGTAATCCGAGTAACTCAGGAGCCTAGGGCAGGACGATTGCAAGTTGAAGGCCAGCTTCCCCAGTTTAGCAAGGTCCTAAACAACTTAGTGAACCCTATCTCAAAATAAAAAGGACTAGGGAATGTCGCTTAGTGCTGAAGCACCTGAGTTTAATCCCCTAGGTACTAACCCTCCCCCTCCCCCCAAATCTCCTCAGATCCTCAGATGTGTCTAGGATTTTTGTTCTGTTCTATAAGAGATGGTCTCTTCTTCAGGTCCTGTGCAATCCATCGCCCCAAATATCATACTCATTTGGAGTGACATGGGGCTTTCAGTGTTGTGCAGAGCACCCCCTTCACTCATGATGGATGGGGAGGTGGTGAGAATAGGCATCCCTCAGGGTAGGGGTGCTTGGGGCTGGAAGGTTGGAGTCCTGCCAGGTGCAAGGATGGAATATGTCAGCAGCTGCTTTTATGCCCCTGCTGGCAAGGGAAGGGATCTCTTCATATACTAGTGCATAATGTCTTTCATAGAGCAAAGTCTAGAGACTGTTCTGACTTTTCTGGCTTATTGCTCTGGGGAGTTCAGTCACTTCTGAGACAGCAGTAGTGGCATATACTCCCTTGGTCCAGGTCTTTTGCCTTGGAGAATATGGTGATGCTTTCCTGGGGCACTGGAGGTCATTCTTTTCACTTAGTGTCATGACATTAGTTGGGTCTAAACTCTTCAAGCTCCACCAGTGTATTTGTTTGTTTGTTTGTTTTGGGTCATTTGCACCAATGACCTTAATCCATGAGCCAGTTTTAGTTCAGCATCTTCCAGTGGGTTTTACTTTGTCATTCCTCTGCTGAAAAGGTGGGATGTGTGGAATGTCATGCTTGTCTTGTCTCATTATTTTTTATCCAAATTCTTCTCTGATTTAATTTTCAGTTATCTGAGGTTAATTTAATAATTCTTTTGTGTTTACTATATTTTATGCCCACTGATGCCAAGTAAAAGCAGTGTGTTAAGCAGATAGGACCAGAGAATGAGAAAAAGTACATACTTTGTGTCTTTCAAGTTGGGATCATCTGAGGCCACATATATGGCAAGATACCTCTAAAACACCATGCATTTCTATTTCCTTGTTGCTCCGATAGATAATACCAAATAATAATTTTAATGTAACTAAAAATTTTAGGTTTTAGTGAGTTTCAAAAACCCAAGTCCTGTCTTAGTAAATTTTGGACCGGAATGGTTGAAAGAACTGGCAGTCATGTGGTGGTTGCTTTGAATTTAGAGCCTGCTGTGTGGAGAGGCCTTTGCCCGCTCTGTGTGACTGGGAGGCAGAACAAGGTGGACGCTAGAAGCTGCAAGAGGCAGTCCAGGTCAGCAGGAAGGGAGTGCTTGGAACAGTTGGGCTGCAGGGAAGCAATGACCCATTTCAGGAGGTGGCGAACCAAGCTGCACTTGTCCCTAGCAACAGAAGGCCATGTATCAAGGCTGCCCTGAATTAGGCTCTGAGAACACTTTCAACTCTGAAGTCCTATGCTTCTAATTTGGGATATTAAAGTTTTATGATATAACCAGAAAAATAGGACAAAAATCCCAGATACAGGGATAATGGTGGGCAATCTTATGCCAGTTTGTTTGACTTGCATCCTGTTAAAATTTGTCTCTGCACACCATACCCCTGTCCACTGTGTGAACTGTGTTCACATGTAGTAAACAAATCACAGGATCCTAACCCAAAACAGGCTGTGTCTCCTCTCACCTGCCTCCTTCCCAGGGACTGCATGTGCCTCCCACAGTGCTGCTAGAGCTGCTTCCAGGGGTTCTTTCGCACCAGGTGGTTGTCAGAGGATAGTTTTTCTGGGGCCAAGCCTTCATTCACTGCCTGAGGGATGCAGCTGAGAGATCCTTTTGTTTTTCCTAGAGAATGTGACCTGACAGAGGAGGCAGTGTTTCCTCACCTCTACACTTTCTCTGAAGCTTAGAAATACTGCTGCAGCATATGAAATTTGACCTCATAATACTAAGCATTACCACAGTTTATTCTTGGTGGTAAAGCCTATAGTCCTTCCAGTTTTATAAATAGTATCAACTATGGCAGAAGCTCCATCAGAACTAAGAGCTGGCAGATAGTGGCTGGTGCCCATGCTGTTGTCAGGGAAGAGAGTTTTGGGCTTGAAACTGGAGAAGCATAATCAAATGAGGCAGACTAGCTGGAATATCAGTTGCTGGATTTATTTTCCTTTCCTTGAACTTCAGGGCCCTTCCAGATTTAATTGTGTAGTGTATGACCTAAAAATTTGGTTTGGGCAGAGGTGCTGTTTTCTGCACTTGTGGGTCATAGTCCTGAGTAGCTAACTTTTGTGGGCTCTATGGTGAGTCTTGGTCAATGCCATGCAATAAAGAAAGGCGACTCTGAAAACCTCAAGTTTCCTCAGCACCGGGGCACATCATGGAACAAAGAGGTGAGCTTCTTATTCAGAACTGGCACTTTGACACAGAAAGTCATGAGAAGAGAGGCTGTTCTGAAGAAAGCCCTCTGAGAAGACGAGGCCAAGACAAAAGGAAGAATCCAAAGTTCCCAAGTGTTAAGAAGTAAAAATGATAATAATATGGTTTATATTGGGAGTAGCTTAGTGAGTTGGAAGTAGTACTGTTTCATATTTTCATAGTTGCCAACATGAAAGGCTTTTGTGAATCACAAAGGCTGATGTTTTATTGTAATGTATGTTTATCCTGTTGTGCTTATTGAATTTTTCAAAAACATAGTCAAAGTCCAGAGAATCAGAACTAGACATCATTACTGGAGCACTGTCATCTTAAAGCAAGAGTGAACCCAGGATTATGGAGGGGTAAAAGCAGAGCCAGAGTTCTGCTGGAGCTGCCATCCAGGCAGCTTCTCAGGCCCTCCTCCAATTAGGGAATTCCCATTTTCCTCCTGGCTTATAAAGTATTGAATTAATTGTTTGGCAGCTACAGAGACTCTTTGGGCCTTATGTAATCTATATGTTCCACTCGAAATTGGAGACAAAAGGGAGGTGTTCCTTTCCTGATTGGGGATTGGTCCTGCTGTTATTCTTATTAGTGGAGAAGAGAGGCCCTGGGTGGGGACCTCCATGGACCCTTTCATACCTTAGTCCATCTGCAACTACTTAGATGGTTGGCTCTCCCTTTCCTGAGACTGACATGACTGTGTGCTGCTCAGACCCAGATCTCGTTGAAGGCAGGGATCCTGAGTTATGAACTGGTGCTCATCACAGGGTAAATGGCAACAGTCTTTTCAACCTTGTTTCTCTCCTGCAACTGATACATAGGTCTTTTATTCTTTTAATAATTAAATAAGATGTGTGTAGGGAGGGTGGGATATAGTCCCATGCTTATTTTGCCCACTCTTAAGGACAGAGCTGTTATGATGGACCCTTACCCAGGTAGATGAGCCCTCCTTTGAGGGGCTGTCTACTCTGGTCATTGGTTGGCTAATGTCCTGCACACCTGGCTATGTTGGGGTCTCAGCAGGAGACTGGAGGGCCTCCTTGGGGAGGGGGCGTGGCCATTGATCCCCAGGCACCAGTGAAGAGGGGAGCTCTTTTAGAGTGCAATAAGTATGAGAGATATTTGAAAGGGGATTTAATGTATTCTTGAATTTAAAAACATGGTATTTGGTCAGCAGAGTAATAGCAGTTGCTGTCTTTGTATATTGTTACCAGATTAAACCCATGATCCTGAGTTTTTTCTTTGATCAAGGAAAATGGAAACAAATGACCTGCTCCACACACTGGCATGCTGAGGGGTAGCAGGTGGCAACCTGGGGAGCAGCTCTCCTGCATAACCTCAGCAGGGCTTGTAAGGTGATATGCTTCATTTGGTTCCAGGAACAGAGGAAGGTTTTTCTTGATTCTAGGTTTTCTTTATCTTGAATCAGAGATGAAGGAAATGATGACAAGATGCTGGCAGATAATCATTAATTACTCATGTGTAAAGGTCTTTGCCTAAAGAAAGCAGCAACATCTGCTGTATAGGGACCACAGGTTCACCTAATGGTGAGGAAAGGCCTTGGACTGGCCTGATTGAATCCTGGGTTGAGCCCTCTTTCTGCCATTTACAGAAATTGTGGCATGCTGCCACTGGGCCTGCACACAGGTTCTGCTGACTCATAAGTTTGTTTCTGCTTCCTACAACGAAGAGAATTCATGGCCTTTAAATCTTCCATTGGAAGAGCTGTAAAAATGTTCCTGAAGTTTCTTTGAACTTTTTGGAAGAAAGAAACAGAGATTTGAATACTTTTAGGAGGTTCTTTTGTTTGATCGAGATCCTAATAAAATGTAGGTCTCTTCTGTAAGGAGAGAACTTAGAGCTGCTGGTGTGGGGGCCAGTCTCTGAAATGCTCAGCATGTCGTCTGTTGTGTCCTAGGCATTTGAGCTGGCAACAGGAGATTATTTGTTCGAACCACATTCTGGGGAAGACTATTCCAGAGATGAAGGTGAGTGTTGCCTTCTGAAGACCTCAGTCTGGGTCTACTTCTTGTCCTGAACTTCTAGAGAGTATTGTGTTTTTACTAAAATAGAGCCATATTTTGGTTTTCAAACACCAAATTCAGATGCTTTTCTTTGGGTTTATAGTCCCTCAGTTTCAGTGAATGGGCAGTGCCTGCCTGGCACAGGCAGCACTCTGCAGAGCCCTCGGGCCTCAGGCTGCTCTGCTCCTGGCCTTCCTCAGTGCAGGCACCTTGTTGGTGGGAGAGGGCAGACTGAACAATCGCAGAGCCTCTCCGGAGTCCGTTTGTCCACTGATCTGCTGCCCATTTTACTGTCCTGTTTGAGCACTTGAGTTGAAAACCAGGGAATTCTGGCTTGAATTCCATCTGTAAGCCTGACCATCTCCATGCTTACTTGCTTGCAGTACTGGGGTGGCCTGGGGTGAGCTGGCATCAGTCACTATGGACACTCCGGAGGGTGCCTGAGGCCTGCTAGTCCCACGAGCCTCTGCATGGATGTGCTGCAGACATTGTTGATTTGAGTCTATTTCTGATTTTTTACTAATTTTCGCTTTTTTCCCTCTTCTTTTATCCCATCCTTCCCCTTGCCCCTCCCATTCCCATATCCTTTTTTTCTCTCCTCCATAGACCACATAGCCCACATCATAGAGCTGCTAGGCAGTATCCCAAGGCACTTTGCTCTATCTGGAAAATATTCTCGGGAATTCTTCAATCGCAGAGGTAGTACCTCTTCTTTTTGAAAAGCGCCACGATGCAGACAGAAACGGAATAGCAGCTGCTGATTGCAGTGTTATGGTGACAAAGGCATTTCTTCTAAATTCCAAATGCAACCCAACAGAATTCCTGTGCTGATTTAAAAGTCAATGGGAAGACCCTGTTTGGCCTGTGCTGCGGTCGCCCTGTGTACTGGCCCCTCCCTGGGGCCCGGGACAGTTGGGTGCCCTCCAGCTCTGGGTCCTGAATCCAGCTGCATGGGGAAAGCCTATGCTTTTGATCATTCAGGTCGCGCTCTGTTTCTGTCTGCGCGGGCGGTGGTAGTGTCTGCATGCAGTGTACTGATTAAACTGTCGTGTGTTTCTGTTTTGCTGGCAATGTTTCCCAATGCAGATCACATAGCATTGATCATTGAACTGCTGGGGAAAGTCCCTCGAAAATACGCTATGTTGGGGAAATATTCCAAGGAGTTTTTCACCAGAAAAGGTAACGGTATTTATGCAACACTAATTTCCAGCGTAATCTTCTCCCAAGAGGAGAAATTGTGCGTTCATGTTTGGGCAATGGAGAAAGACCTGGACTTTTACAGCTGGGAAATTCTGCTGAAGAAAGTTCTCAAGAAATAATCCTGAACCATCTGATTCTGTGGAATAAGGATTTTGTAAGAAAACAACCTTCCTAAAATCCTTTCTCTCCTCTACTTCTTACCTCTCCTACCACAGGCACCAAAACTGTATATTCAGATATTTGTAAAAAGGATTTTAATGATTTTTAGGAAACAACCAGACTTATCTTTCCATTTTCTTTTTTCATGGACACTCTTTACTGCAACAGAGGCAGCCTAGAGTCTGGACTCAGTGAATGTCTATGTGTGCTTTGTTGATCTGAGTTGTTTACAGAGGGGTCCAGAAATCCCATGTATATAAAATCTCATTTTCCTCAAGTGTTATGACATGCTACATTATAGATGATTTGTTTTAATGTTATAGTTCTTGCTGACCTTCCCTTGGTATGACTCTGAAACAGTTCTTTTTTGCCCTCTGTAGTCTGCAGTTAGTGATCAGTTTTATATAATACTATAAACCCCCTCTGCCCTGGGAATTTTGTTTCATTTTGCTACTGGGGATTGAACTCAGGGCTTGATGCATTCCACACAAGCCTCTGCTATTGAGCTAGAACCCCAGCCAGGGAATTTTTTTTTAAACCCCTCCCAAGTGCTGTATCATTTTGTGATAGACATAATCATTGCTCTTATGTCTTTTTTGTGTGTGTCTTCAATTTGTTTTTGGTTGTAATATTCTTTAATAAAGATTTTTTGGAGGAGGGGGGTTGAGAGTACTGGGAATTGAACCCAGGGGCACTTAACCCCTAAGCCACATCCTGAGCCCTATTTTATATTTTATTTAGAGATAGGGTCTCATTGAGGTTTTGAACTCGTGATCCTCCTGCCTGAGCCCTCTGAGCCGCTGGGATTACAGGTTTGTACCACCATGCCTGGCTTCTAGCCCTTTTTATATTTTATTTAGAGGCAGGGTCTCACTGAGTTGCTTAGGGCCTCACTGAATTACTGAGACTGTCTTTGAAGCTTTAAACTCACAATTCTCTTGCCTTTCGAGCCACTGGGATATCACCTTGCTCGGCTTAATAAAAGAACTTTTAAAGTTGATTGAGTAGAACGTGGAGGTTCTAGAAATTTCTGAAATTCTCAGATACTTACCTTTTCTTTTTTAGCCAAATTTGAAGAAACAGCTTGACTTTTTATTTTTCTATGAAGAAAATTCTTACTGAATAAAAAGTTCCCCTCCCCGATGCAGATAAAGTAGCTTTGCTATTAAACTGTTCAGTGACAGATTGTGAGACTGGGGCATGTCATGGACTCTTTTGATCTTAGGTTTCCTCATCTTTCAATGGTGGATTATTTCATGTTACAGTGTTGTTGCAAGAAGGTGTAAAAGGATGCCTGTGTGACACATGGCACACCCAGTAGCTGTTATTGATTAGCAGTAGTACTTAGAAAGTAAATGCAATTTTCCTAGGAAATCTTTCTGAAAATATTTCAAAATGATTGAACCTAGCAAAAGCTCTGGGTTACTGTGGCCTGGGATTCAGTGTGACTTGGGGAATTGTGTTTATTTTAATGAAGACAGACTCCTCCTTCCACAATTCAGAATGTTTCCAAGGCTGGTGGGATTTGGCCTGCCCCCAGACAGTGTGGCTGACTAGATTTCTCAATGGTCTCTCTCTCTGGTCAGATGAGAGATGCATGAGAGAGTGGCTTACAACACATCATCCTGGTCTGCTGCAGTATTAGAGAGTGTTACACCCCTGATGAGTCTCCAGAGAAGAAGGAGGAGACATGAGAGGCACTAGACAGAGCACCTGTTCCTCCAAACAGGCGGATGCTTGGGTTTTAGCACCAGGTCTTAGAAGCCACCTTGACCACCACAGGCATCTGGCACTGGTGTGGATTGATAGTGAAGGCATGCAGGGATTATTCTTTTGCAAGCAACAGGGATGGAATTGTTTGTTGTCAGGGGACAGGGTAGGAATCACATACTGTGTATAGGAGGGAAAGAGGGACAATAGAAAGGGACTTGAATGATGAGAGAATGAAGTCTCATGAATTAAAGGGTCTCTCCTTGCAGCTGATGGTCATGGAACTGCTCATCAGGTGGCTGCTCTTAGGCTTTCATACTGTTAAATTCTGCCCTGGCCTGGAGCTATGAGTTCCAAGGGTCAGACCTGCTGAATGCCAGCACGGAACCAGCAGCAACAATCACACCATTTGGCAGGAGCCCTCTTCAGAGTGATACCTGGTAAATGGAGATCTGGTGGGTTGTAGGTTTCAAAGAGATCTGCCTGTCTGTGGCCCTTCATGTATGGAAGGCAGCTTTCACATTGGACTTTTCCATTAGCACCCTTGTTCCTGTGCCTCCTTGTGAATGTGTAGTTATAGGTTACCATCATTGTCACATGTGCTTTTGGACTTGTATGCTTTGGTTCTTTTTGAGCAGTTTGTGTCAAGGTTACCTGCAGAGTTGAAATGGATTTGTCATCCTTTGATGACAGACCAAAAACATTTGGACTTGCTGTTGACTGGTAACCAGAGTGAGTTTTCCTACCTTTGGATGTAAGGGAGAATTTCTCTATAGGCCAGAAATCCCTGAAATGACTGGATTTGGGGCTTATGTTCTTTCCTGATAATTGTTTGTTTATAATGGCTGTGAAATGAGAAGGAATTTAGATTTTTGAAGTCACAGGAATAATATTATGATAAATGAGGAGTTATCATGGAAATAGATTTCACTACATCCCTAAGGATTAAGGAAATGGTTTATTGAAAGACATGTTTTGGCAAGTAGTGTGTGAATATATATTTTGGAAATAATGGGACCTGAATATATATCCATTTAAAATGTTTTCTAAAAAAATACTATTGTGTTAGAACTGATAAAAGACAAAAGCAAAATTTAAAGACTCCAAAGAAGTAATACTACTCTTCCTTAGCCAGGAAATTAAAAATTGAACTGGATTTTTGAACAGGAAAAATAATTAATGCTATCTTCCTATTATGGTACTGCTGATTCCTTTAGGTGTAAACATTGGTCACCAAAGATGGTTAAGAAATGAGGATGTTGAGGTGTGGCCCATTAGAAATCAGCAGCTCTGTAGATTTTGTTCCTGTTCTGTCCCCAAGAAGTAGGTGGTCCCTAGAAGTGTCTCAGCCCCTAAGTGACAGTTTTGGAAAGTCAGTGCAGGTAAGTGCAGCCCTCTCTGGGCAATATTCTTCTGACCCATTAATAGATACTATTTTAGTAAACATTAGGGTGTTGAGAATGGAACAGTTGACTTTAAAAAACAACTGGTCAGGCATGGTGGTATAATATCAGCAATTTAGGAGGCCGAGGCAGGAGGATTACAAGTTTTAGACAAGCCTCAGCAACTTATCGGGGCCCTAAGCAACTTAGATCCTGTCTCAAAATAAAAAACAAAAAGGTACAAGGATGTAGCTTCGTGGTTAAGCATCCCTGGTACCAGGTTCAATCCCTGGTACTATTCCCTCCAAAAAAATTTTTAAAAAAGAGAGAAGTGCAGAGTGGGAAGAAAGTATGTTCTATTTAATATTTGAGCTAAAATCTGTTTGGAATGTTTTCCTTTTATTTGTTTAATTTATTTTGGTTCTGGAAATTGAAACCCCGGCCTTGGGTATACTAGGCCAATGCCACTGAGCTATATCCCCAGCACCAGTTTGTTTTAGTTTATTTCCAGAATTACCTAAAAAGTAACAGATTCTCTTATTATTAGCTGTGAGGATCAGAACTCCGTATGGGTGTTACCCACATAGGCTAGATTGACAGACATTGTCAATTGCTCTAAAAGATTTTCACATCATCTCACTTTTATAGCTTCCATAGATAGATGCCAAGGGTGTACATTAGAGCAATTCATGATCGGGTGGATATCCTGTGAGGACTCTGTTGCCTTTGGAAACCCTGCAAAAGACAGACATGACCTCTCTTGAGGCCTTTTGAGCTCTAGAAGGCTCATTTTAGGATTCTTTGTTTTCAGTGTGAGCTTGACTATAGAAATAGCTAAGAAAAAAGTTTCCTTACACTAGTTATTGTCTTAAAGTTTTCATTTCATGTACAAACTCCTTTTCACTACAATTTCATCTTAAAAACATTATTCTAAGTTTAGAAAAGCATTTTTTCCTTGGCTGTAGAAAGACCTTAGCAAAAAATTAAAAAGAAGAAAAAGAATGCCGGGGGCGATGGAGCACGCCTGCAATCCCAGCGGCTCCTGAGGCTTAGACAGGAGGATTGCAAGTTCAAAGCCAACCTCAGGAACTGCAAGGCACTAAGCAACTCAGTGAGACCCTGTCTCTAAATAAAATACAAAACAGGGCTAGGGATGTGGCTCAGTGGTTGAGTGTCCCTGAATTCAATCCCTGGTACCAAAAAAAAAAAAAGAAAGAAAAGAAAGAAAAAGACATTAGAAGATAAGCTCTCTGAGAACTAAGATGCAGGAGCTTGCTCTGGTGTACAGCTGGATCGCTAGCCAAATTTAATGCCTACAACAGAGTAGATTCAGTAAATATTTGTTGATTAAATGTAAGCACCTTAACCTGTATGCATTCTTTGTTTTGGATAGAAACCTGTGTGAGCTAGAAACAGAGTGAGCATATGTTCCACTTTGCCTGGGCTGGTGCTAGCATAAAGCCTGCTGTCCTGGCATAACTACTTACCCTTGCTCACACCAGGACCTGTGTGGAGAATGCATGATAAAGGCCCCCTTGACTGGAATTGTGATGAAAGACAGGGATGCCATGTCCACAATTCTGTGCCCTGGAGGCAGAATGCTGATAGAGAACATATAGCAAAGACGTTTTATGAAATAATAAACCGTAGTCTATACCACTGCTCAGTTTTTAAATTAATACTAAAAACATTTCAAAAATTTTAGCATTTATGATGTAAAAAGCAGTG